GGAAAGAGACGCCCCCACCCCGCCGTGAAAGCTGGGATGCTCCACAGAGCCCAGCCTCCTCCCCTTCAGCGGTCAGTACCGGCACTCTCAGAGAGGATATAAGAAAGGTCAGCGGACGCCGTTAGGTGACAGGTAACAGCCTGCAGCTAATATCCTGAAATTTAGGGGTTGAGATCTCTCCGGGCAGAGATGATATCCCACCTAGACGAGAGCCTGTGGAGGGAAAGCCACAGGCCAGACAGGCAGTGGCAAGGAAGTGCTGTTAGGTAGTTAGGAGGACCTGGGGATGCTGAGTCTCAGAGTTACTGCCGGCTGCTCAAGGAAGAGCAGGAACAGTTGGAATTCGCTCACACACCTCACCAACATGGTTTCAACTCAATGTGTGCTCTTCTCCTGCACAACCCCTTGCAGGAGACAGTCAAGGCAAGAGGGGAAAGGTAAGGGGAGAGTGTGAAACCCAGGAATGATGCCTGGGGGAACTGCGTGCTGCTGACAGCTGCCTACAGACTCCCAGGCCACCATGAGACTGTACAGAGCCCATGGTGTTGTCTGTACACCTCTGCAAGACATCCCTGATGCCTGGTCTGCCTGAAACATGGCCTCTTGGCATACAGGGGAGTGCTGCGGTGAAGCTCTGGGTTCACAGAGGTCTGGGGTATGGCTGACTTGGACACATCTTCAGAAAGTGTCCTCCTGAGTGGCTCTGGTGTTGGATTTCCTCATGGTGACCCAGGACAACAGTGAAAGGTTAGTGAGCAATGCCCAGCCCACACCAGTGAACAGGACCATGGACCTGTGGTCTCTATCTCAGCAAGAGCAAGGGCATTCTCCATCCCTTCCAACAGGCGTGAAGCATCTGTTCCCATCAACACAGAAACTTCTCCTTGGTGAAGAATTTCTTTTCCCACCCCTTCCTCCTGGTGTCTCAGACACATCATCACAGAAGGATGCTATGGATGTCCATGACTCTTCTTGAAGTCCAATGCCTGAGGAAGACCTTTCCCAGAGCAGGGCCACTAGGTGCGCTTTCTGCGAAGGAGACGGGCTTTCAGCACTTTTTTGCATGTCTGCCTTCTGCAAAGCACAGGCATGAGGCAGCCCAGCAATACCAAGTTGTCACCTTGATCCGTGGGGGCTCAATGGGCTACCTGCCTCTCAGCAACATGATGTTCAAGGCACAAACGGCTATCACAAGGGTGACAGCCATGGGGTGAGCATCACAAGCCACGGGGTGAGCATCCAAGCTTGCAAACAGGGACAGAAACTGCAGCTGGGTGGAGACAGCATGGTTGCCTTTGTGCCTTGCCCAGGCCACGGGACTCCTGAAGACACCAAGCAGCTATCACAGGCCCTTCTCCCCAGCCAGAGGCTGGCAGAGCCCAGCTTGCTGTCACCACCTTTCCTAAGCAAGTGGCAGTCAGGGTTGGATAGAAATCTCATCCTGAGGCTCACTGTGCAGGTGTGTCATCTGCTTGTCCAAGTGCCTTGTCCATGCTGGCACACCACCATCGATTGGGCTTTGTCACTAAGAGAAAGCAAACAAGGATCCTGAACGCTGCGGGGATATGTGGTGCTCAGCGCTGCCCTCCCAGCTGCCTTCTCAGAGAGGGAGCCCAGGCAGTGAGCAGACATGTTGGCTGGAGCCCCCCAAGCTCGCAGCCCTTGCTTGGCCATCACTGCCTCCGTCGGCTCCGATAATAGAAGAACCTGATACAATAATCCTGCATTCATCACATCCCATGTTGAGTGATTGGATTTTCTTTGACATATTGCCATGAAAATTGACCCAGTGCAGTGAGTGACAGCTCTTCAGGGGCAGGAAAGCGGCGAGCGAGGAATATGCGTTTACATCTGGGCTTTTATTGCCAGGAGAGACATATGCCAGGGCAATGGCAGGGAAGGGATGGGAGCAGAGCCAGGAGACAGATCATGGGGGGAGTTAAATCCCCTGCCCTCAGCTGCACCCCAGGAAGAGCCTTAAGCCAGCACAGAAGCAGTGACAGCCCGTGACAGTATATACAAAGGCCCCAGATGAGTCCTAAAGTGGTCTTAAAGCCACCAGTGACCACAAAGGCAACACTTTTGGTAACATCAGCTTGCACCCCGCCCCAGTTCCCATGTCCCTGGGTAGAACCCGCCTGCCCCTGCCCATGCTGCCAGGGGATGCTCCCGAGGGATGGGGAGGTGCAGCCTCTTTCTCCGGCTGCAGAGCTGCTGGAGCTGCAGCTCCTGTTGTTGGCACCAGGAGAAGGACCGGCCAGGAAACCTTGAGGCAGTCCCCGTCACTCCTTCCACCGGTGCCCAGGATGGGAAGCGTGACACAGCACAGGTCCCAGTTCTTCCCAGACAGTGCCTGCCAGACCTCCAGCGATGCCTGGGTGCCTGGGCACAGGCTGCAAGCCCACCCGGGGGTCTGTTCCCCATCTGTCTGCCTGAGACCCCTGTTAAGGGTGGCCCAGAGGCCCAATTTTGTCCCCAGCAGGACTTTCTCGGTGGGACTTCACATCCTGATGGGCTATTCCCACCCCATGTTGCGGCTCAAAGGGAGAGAGCAGCCTTCATCTCCCCACCACCCTCCTCCTCAATCCCATGCGGTTACAAAGGAGCCTTTAATACCAAGCTCAGGTGAAGGTGACAGCGTGTGCCTTCCCATGCCACACAGGACTTGTCTCCCAGCAAAAGCCACCTAGAAATAATGAATCCTCCTGGGCTGAGAGGCTTTCAAGCTCTCAGAGAAGGGAATGAAAGATTTCCTGATTTCACCCTCTCCCTCCCTGCTCTCCTGGCTTCTTGAAGTTAATGTTCTTAGCCCCAGACGTGACGGGCAAAGGGAAAAGATCCATGTGGTGACAGGGGACGATTGATCTCTTTTACATAGAACGACGCTCCAGTCCCAGTTTAATCCCCTCGCTCAAGGCAAATGGGATTCTTTGTCAATGGAAACTTCAAAAGCCCGGCCCTGCCGTGAGATGGACCTTCTTCTTTATCTGGTCTCTGTCAGTCACTCGCTGCGTTTCCCTCCAAACAGCTAATCTGTCTTCCTAGCCGTCCTTCTCCCTCACAGGCGATATGTTTGGGACTGTTGAGTTATCTACACTCAGACCTGATGAGGAGGGAAAGGGAAGCTTGCAGAATACAGCTGCTTTCATTTTGTGGGTGCCCTTTCCAGCTCCTTCGAGATGTCCCAGGGCAGCCTCACGCTCTATGGATTATCAGTGGTGGGTGGTTTTGGGGATTGCTTTCTGCTCTGCTTGTTTTTCATGGGAGAAATAGTCAGGTCTCTGCTCTCCTCCTGGTCTCCCCTGGGACAGGGCATGGGAGACAGGGATAGTCACACAGGAGATGGGAAAGCCAAAGGTGTGGAGCGCTATGGAGTGTCACCACGATCTTTATGTTCCCATGTGGGATTTGGGAAATTGTTTGGTTTATTTGGGAGGTATCCCTGCCTGCCAGGAACATGGGTCAGCACAGTGGCTCCCCGGCCCCCCTCCCTTCGTGGGACAGACGAGGTGTTGATGTGCTTGGCAAGATGCTCAGTCCCAAGGGAAAAACCTAGGGCTGAAATTTCAGTCACCGTTTCTGACATCAAGTGCCAAAAATGACCCAAAGCTTCCGGGGGAAAAAAAAAAAAAAGGAGAGCGAGACCTGAAGTCGATTCTATTAAAACAAGCACCAAGACATCTTCCATGAGAGATGCCCTGAGTCTTCCTGGAAGCCTGGAGCCTCCCTGGCTTGGACTGTGTCACCAGAAGTGTAGGAGAGCCTGGACCACTTGCGTTTGCCCACCTTGGGGAGCACAGCGTGGTTTTCAGAGGCTGTGCAATGCCTGGCTGCCCTGCAGTGCTCCCTGCCACCCACCTGCCAGCCCAAGCTCTGGTCCTTCCCACCACCATATCATATGAAGTCCAGCTAACAGTAATACTAATTAATAAATTGTGCCCATTGCAGTGATGCCATGATGCTCTGTGCACTTAGTATTTTTGCATTCTGAGCCAAGGGGATGGGAGGTGGTCCTGGAGAGGGGGATGTGGCTGAGGTGGGGTCTTTTAGTAATTTGGGCTCCTCCTCGGGTGTGCTTCGCTCCCCCTGAGGCAGTCCCGTTCCCCTCTTCCAAAGCTGGCATATGGCTCTGGCTCCCGGAACTCCCCCACATGATTTCCCAAGCTGAGCTCAGTCTGCGTGTGATCAGCTCTCATTAGCTGTCATTAGCCACAATCTGGAGTCCCGGAGCCCGCCGGGTCCTTCAGCTCCAACATCCCTCAGCTGCTTGGCTGCTCCAGCCCAGTGGGTGCATGGGGGCAGCAGTGTCCCCTAGTGCTGGCCTGGCTCCAAAGAGTGGCCACCTTCCTGGGGGACACCGAGTAGCAGGACAGGGAGTGGGTTGCGAAGGCAAGAGGGTGTAAAGAGCATCCCTCACGGTGAATAGTGTTCTGAGTTGTGCTCGCTTACCTTGGGGGTGCCCGCTGCCATGGCATCCTTCAGGATGGAGCTTTTGCTGCCAAGAGAGAAGAGAATGGGGTCAGAGTCACAAAACCGCTGTGGCGGGCAAGGGGGGAAGAGCTTTGAGGGATATTAAGAGGTCAAATAGCACATGGTTCCCCTTCCCCAGACCAACGAGAGCCTCCTCACCCTGGCCAGAGGGGCACGGAAAGGACGTCAGCGCCAACTATTTCTCCAGCTGGAATAAAACGGTCCTACGAGTGGAATCCCCAAACCCAGACGCACGATGCTGAATCAAACCCCGAGTCTCCCCCTCCTCGGGGGCTTGCACATCTCCTCTCCCAGCCCTGGGGAAAAGGGGAGAGCAAGCCTGCAGGGGCGCCGAGAAGAAAGCCAAGGAGAGGGGAGCAGAGGTGGTGAGCCCTGCGTAGGGTCAGGCACGATAGGAAAAAAAGGAGGGAAAGAAAAAGGAGATTGAATTGGCGTAAGAGCAAGGGAAAGAAGATCCCCTCAGCTCCAGCCGTGCTGTGGAGGCAGCAGCTCTGCCGGGGGCTGGAGTGATTTGTTAATTCAGCTTGTTCCCCATTTAGCAGGGAAGGAGGTCCCCGGCACGGTGCTCCTCCTCGCCTGCCCTCGCCAGCGGGAGATGCTATAGATTTAATAACACCTCCCCCCCTCCAGACAGGTTAAACTTGAAACAATTACATATCAAAGCCGACATGGCGGGGAGGCCTGCACTGTAATTTTTTGGTTATTAAAGTAATCTCTCTCATGTAAATTCTCCTGCTAACATGCTGCAAACAGCATTAGGAAATAAATTATTTCCCCATGATTTGATTTGTCAATGCAAAGCACCTGCAGCAGGCAAAAGGCTCTTGAAATATGTTGCCAAGCCCGGTGCCTGTGCTTGTAAGTGCACGCCAGTGGGGCGGCTGGCTCCCAGCTCCCCACAGCCCTGGGGAGATGAAGGATGGGTGGGGGGAGGGGGGAGGTTAGCGGGGGGAGGCGGA